AGTCGTCAGCTATCTGCCACTGTCGCCGAAGTGGTTGAACTGCGTGTCGCAGCTGTGGTCGAAACCAAGGTCGATTAATGTCGTTCCAGAACAAAAAATGAATATCGAGTGTATATTCAAGAAAAGGGCACCTGTATAGTGTCCTGTGTAGCCCCATTACCAGACACCATCTTCTTTTCCGCAGTTGATGGTGTTTTAGATACGAAGTTTGACAAAACGAAAGTTTTGGAAGAATTTAGGTACGTTGATGATTTTCTCGCTGTCTTAAATAAGCGAAATCCATCAGAACATTCAAGTACTGTACAAGAAGTTCCGGACGTTTTTAGAAGAAATAGTTGATGGTTCGAGTACACATGCAAATTACCAGAGGGTGATAAGTTACAATGTCTGGACTATATAGCTCACCTTGGAAAGAGAGGTTCACTGGATGTACCTTTTAGCCCAAAAAGAGCTGCTGACTTATCAGCCAGCGCATTCTAAGACCGTAAGAACAGGCATCGCCACAACGACATTGGAGCCCACAGTAAAAAAAAAAAAAAATCGTGTGAACACTTCACGCAAATTCGTTTTCAGTACTAGATTCAAAGAATACAAAGGGCAGGCTTTCCGTACACGGTACTTACAGCACTGATAAAGTAATCCTTAATCCAAAAATATTAAAGGTAAAAAAAGAGCAAACACACCAGACGATCAACCGAGAGTTATTACCCTATTCTCACCAAGTAGCCCATAACCTGAAAAACGTCGCAAACAAGTACAAGGTTTTCAGCCCCTTTAAAACTTGTATTTCTGTGCTCCCGAATTTTCAACAGGAAAGAAAAGAAGCCATTCGGAACCCGACAAAGACCATTTGTCACGTGAAAGTATAACGTGGTATATAAGATCCTTCTCACTTGCATTAATATCCACAAGGACAAACGTGGCGTTGATTAATTAAAGGCTGAGAAAACACGAGCGTTTACTCGACAAAAAAACAGGGTTCAATTTTGCAATCCCTCGTAAAGCCTGCGGATGCGTTCCTCGTTTGCAAGAAACCTTGGTTCTGGGTAGAAGTGTGGCAGTTTGGGCTATATGACATGACGATAGTTATAGCGCGATAACAAAACGACGACAATTTGTCGTCATTCTGTTCTCGCGCTGTAACTATCGTCTGGGCAGAAGTCGGGATAAAGTCGCGCGTGAGCTACAAGAGGCCGTCTGTATAAAAAGATAGGACCCAGCGTGTGTATGCAAACCATCAAAAATGTTATACGAATGCGAAATGCGATTTTTAGAAACACTTGAATAAAACTAACTTCTCGCAGTAGATAGAATTCCTACCGCACGTTACCGAAAAGCCAGGAGATGTTCTTTTTATGGGTAGCAGTGTTTTAACTGTACGAAGATTTTATTGCTGGAATAACCAAAAAAAAATTGGCTTCTCTTTCATGTTACTATGCTTTACACCACGTGTCCTAGACCATATATCTAGTTTTGTTAAATATACGCCGCCACGCGCAAATTTCACCGATTTTGAGAACACCGTGTGATTAGCGGTGTCTAAATGCTTGCCTATATGTATCCTCCTCCTTCTTTTTCAAGTAAATCAATTGTTAGTAGGCGTTCATCCATGTTACTTCTTGTGTCCGTCTCGGTTGCGCCTTATTGTTTCCGTTAAAAAATGCTACAGGAAATGAAGTGTAGTCGAAACTCAATTTTACGAATCCTGATTTTACGAATTTCTCAATTTAACGAACAAATTTGGATACCCCCCCTTCCGCACTTGCCTATAGGCTTGATGCTTTTACAAACTCGATATAAAAAAAACGCGGCCAGAAAACCCGATTTAATGAAGTGTTCTCGGTAAGAAATATGCATAGAATTTTTTTATGACATCGTGAACGTCTGAGAGGGTGTTGTCAGCGTAGGAGCTGCCCAATCGACGAAGGGAGGCCGTCTCGTTGTGGTTCTTATAATGCTACAAACCGACACTGCACGGAATAACAGACTGCGCATCCCGGCACTCAAAGCAGACAAGCCGGAGCGACGAACTGCTGCACGGAACGATCGAAAGACAGAAAATTATAGCATTGCTTCCGTGTACGATTACAACAGATGAGCGAAGCTCCTCAGAAATGGGACGCAAACGACCACGTGCCTGATCTCACTGCTAGCTTTCACGAAGGTGGTTAGGGCGGGGAGCGGGCGAGCAGCGGACGGGGAGCGGGCGAGGAGCGGACGGGGAGCGGGAGAGGAGCGGGCGAGGAGCGGGCGGGGAGCGGGCGGGGAGCGCGTGGGTAGAGAATCTTCTGCGCTATAGGGGGCGGGAACGACTGAGCGAGTGAGTGTGTGGAGCTCATCGGTTTTATTCAACTTTTGTAAACGTTTAAACTAACAATGTTTTGAAGAGGAGAACAGAAGCTGCTTCTGTAGTATGTTGGATAGGCTTACCCGGCGTCGAACGTGATTAACGACACTCGACAAGACGGTAAAGCTGCCATGAGAGGTGGCGACATACGAATGATGAGAAATGACGCTTGAAGTGGCACAATTGTAAGCATTACGGCGCACTCAGTGAACTACAAAACAGCTACAACCAAATCTGGTCGAAGCAAACGCGCGAGAAAGAAAATTAACCCCCGTATTCTAGAACCTCCCTTCACTCAACGCTCCGCTTTCACTTGAAAAAGCCGATGGGAGCGCAATCTCTAGATACGGCAAGTCACTGCGTATCAGCAATAGTCTGCTGCGGTTCTTGAGTAGCGCAGCGCCATTTTCAACCGAGTGGTGACGCAGTGCTCAACTCTGCCAAGTGAAGGGTGAAAGCCGAGTAGAGGAGCGTTTGTGAATACGGGGGTAAGACTTCTTATTACCTCCTCTGAAGAGCGGTGTTGCTTCGAAATGCAAGCTCTGAATCTCGTTGAAGAACCAGTATTCAAGCGAAGTAATCACACCGTGCGGAGTGAGCGCGTCGACGCAGAATGACGCCCCGCCGAAAAAACGCCTGAAATACGCCGCATATGGTCGCTTCTCTAACGCGCCAACAAGCTGCAGAAGTTGCACGATATAAGCAGTGCAAGAAAGTATAACAGACTCGTTAAGAATAGCAATACACAGCAATGTTGTACGACATAGACCGACCCATGTATCAGTCAATCAAATGCTGATTCATTAATGCGTTCTTTTGTTCATTATTTCTTTAAATGGCCCCTTTTTGCCCTCTCTTTTGGTATACAACTGAAAAAAAGCCGTCCCGTCTATCACCAAAAAAGTCATTTCTTTTTCAAAAGCTACAAACAATCTGTTTTTACAGCGAAAGCTGGTATATGAGATCATAACAAGGGTCGCCGTAGTTGTCCGCCGCTGGTGTCTGTAACCACTATCGTGCAAATTTTAATAAATGTAAATAAAAACACCAAGGACACGATAGGATTCTAACCCAGGTCCCTCGCGCGCCAGCCCAGTATCCGAGCTACCCCGGTGCTGGGAGCTCTGTTACAAACTGACCCTATAGGCAGGCTTCATGTCGGGAAAGGAATCGCATTACTATATGCGATTCCTAGGGCCAGTCATGCAACACACAATTCAAAATGCACAAAGAGTGGTTCATCGATTGCTACAGACCCATTACAATAGCGCTAGACAATTTTTTATCGTTGCCGAGTCAGCCACAGCATCAAAAACAAAATTCTTTGCAGGTGAGTAGCGGGCATCACGCTTCTCTGAAGAACGACGAAGGATGGCATAGTAAACGTCTCCCGAATACACAAAAATTATTATGATTTATGGCGTAGCTGGTACCCAGCAAGTGTGCATGTTATCAGTTACCTAAATATTGTTTAAAAAAGGGCTCTTAAAGGCCGCTCTTTCAGCTCTCACTGTGACTGTGCTGCGCGTTTCGCGCAGTCCTGGAGAGAGAGAGAGAGAGAAATAAACGTTTGTTTCGAAACAGTGTCCTGAGCGACACCCGGTATCACCCTAAGGTGGGAGGGTTCCATAGTCCAGGAACCCTCTGGCTTCGACTGCCCTCTTGGCCCTGGCGACGAGCTGTTGCTGGTCTTCCAGGTCCTCGAGGACGAGCTTGGCCTCCCACGTTTCGATTAGGTTGTCGTCATTTGTTCTTGGCGTTTGATCCCGCTACGGCTACATATCATTGTTTGCATGGCACTGGCGTTCCAGGAGCAAGTGTGCTAGTGTGTGCAGCACGCTGCAGAGCGGGCACATGTAGCCATGTGTCGTTGGGTAGTCCTGGCGTTTCTTTTTTTTGACATAGGACAAGTAATAGGAGGAGGAGGAATAAACATTATTGTACCGAAATGGGAGTGAGAATGAGGTAGCCAGGTTGGACTACAAAAGGGGGGGGGGGGGGGGTCGATAGGGGCCCAGGGGCATAAGCGTGCGAAGGGTTCTAGGAGGGGGGGGGGGTGGCGAAAGCTCGTTGGAGCACCCCTTTTAATATCCTGTCAATGTGTCAATGTATAAGGCTGACTTGGTGCCCCCCCCCCCCTCTTTAGTGTTCCCACAGTGGCCCGGAAACCAAATGAGCTTCATTTCCAGTTGAGATCATACTAATTTTGGCAAAGCCGTGCGATTTGTATTCGCGACAGCATATGCCCTGAAAGCCGACATCGAATCCATTGTGACAAACTTCGTGCCCTCAATGGTGGTTTCCAATAGCAATCGCTCTATCATCTGGCTCCGTTGTGAAGCCGGCTTGAATGGTTTCTATCCGCAATGTGCATCCACAGCCATCAACTGCTGCAATAGCATATTTTTTTCCCTTGCTGGGATAGCTTCAGCTTACGCTGCTGGTTTGTTTTCTAGGGCTTAGCGACGCACCTGAATACACACGCCACCAGCTCCCACCTTCAGCGAGAATGAAACAAAATTTTCGCACTAAGCAACCCCCCATTCTTCTCTCTCCCTTTCCCCCAATATATTATCGCGGCGGAAAATGTGCAATCAGCAGGCACGAGGCAGTACGTGCCGTCATCATTACTGTCATGACTTGTTCTCTCTTTTTTGTTCTTGCTCTTCTATTTATGCAAGTTGACTGTCTTTTCGGGGAATGTTTTCGTTCAACTGTGGAGTAGCGTCGACTGTATGTGTCTCGTCCGCCGATGCGTCTTTCGTTAAGGAAGTCTCAACTGGACGCCGTTCGCGATATGCTGGCCGACGTTCGGTGGAAAGTGCTCCTACTGGTCTTCCTCACGGCGCTGGGAAGCGAGGTCTTCGGCTGCAAGCCGTTTGATTCCGGTCAGTAGAGGCATTGTCGTATATCTCACGCAGGAAAAAAAAAAGGAAAAAACACGAACGACTCAGTGAGTGTGCTGTGAGCGTTATGTGCTTGTGATCACACCAGCGATACAGGAAGTGCGTGAGGGGATGTTAACAATATTATCTGGCGTTCAGCGTCCCGAATCCACCACATGGTTATGAGAGACGCCGTAGTGGAAGACTCCGGAAATTTCGACCACCTGCCATGGGGTTCTTTAACGTGTGCCTAAATTTAAGCGCACGAGCCTCAATCATTTTAGTTTCCATCGAAAATGCAGCCGCCGCTGCCGGAATTCGATCACGCGACTTTCGCGTTAGCAGCCGAGCATCATGACCATTAGACCACCAGGACGCGGCATTGGAGAGATGTAGAGGCAGGCTGTTATCTAAACGTAACAACATCCACTGTTTTCTTGCTCGGCCAAGTCCCGGAACTTATTCTGATGAGAAGAGTCGTTTCTTGTAAATGAATTCCATACTGAACTAATAATAATAATAATAATAATAATAATAATAATAATAATAATAATCCCTGAGTCTCTTATGCATCCCTCTAAGACGACTCAAAGGTGAAGGCCAATTTTTCTTTTCTTCTTCTCAGTCGATGCGTCAATCTTAGTGAGGTTTCCACAGTCTCTATGACCGGAGCTAGCTTTCAGAACCTCGCCTGGCTTTGCACAGCCTCCGTGATCCGTGCACCTTTGACCGAGCGACGATTCTTTGTGATGAAGCTATCACCAGACGTCGCGTTGCGTCACATCGCAAAATATGGTCATCTGTGACGTCATGATGCCGTCATATAGTTACCCCACCGCGATGCTTTCTTGCGTCACACGTGTTGACGCCGACGACACCGATGCACTGCCCTGTGGCACTTTAGTGGGGGGTAGTGGTAAGGGGCCGGGAGAACTGGCATTGCTGGAAGGAAGGGCCCTGAAACCAGGAGTCGTTGCAGGACTTTTGCGTTAGGCATGCGATTTCTACTAGGAAATCCGCCTTTCCCACGACACGGCGGGGCATCGTGGGAAAGGTGGATGCGCGTTCTAGGAGGCATCTAAAGCTTTCGTTTTAATATTGTCCGGTGTTTCACGCGCCAGATAACACGATATAATAATGAGGCACGTTGTAACGGAGAGCTCCGGAAACTTAGACCCCCCAGGCACTCGTGCACTGACATCGTGCAGGGCACGGGCCTCTAGCACTGCGGCTCCATCTAAATACGACCGCCGCGGATGGGATCGAACTGGCGACTTTCGGATCAGTAGCCCGGCACCGCAACAACACCGTCTAGACAACTTGTGTAGCAGGTGTTGACCATAACCACTGCTCAAGGGCGTAGCAAGAACTCTTTTTTTGTTTTTGTTTGTTTGTTTTGTTTGTTTTATGGGGGAGGGGTTCAATGATTTTATGTATATTCGTAAGTGCGTTTGTATGTGTGCGTGTACGTATACGCAAGGTGAATTGAAAATTTTCGAGAGTTTAGTTCTCCCCTCCCCCTGTGGACTACACCCATGCTACTGTACCACCAAGGCGGTCTATCAAGAACTAGGTCACAAGAGGGATCTCGCAACGTTCCTTCGGTTGCGGCACTGTTTCAACGCTGTAAATGTAGGTTATCCGATGCCATATAAGCGCTACACTGTCTTTGTACACTATAATTATTATGTTGACGTATACACCGACAACTTGTTTTCTCAGTTTTTTTTCTATGTATGATTCACCAAACAAAATATACATTTAAAGTAGGGTGTTAGGTCAGTCGATAAGGGCAACGATTAGCAGTTCATATCAAGCATTTCATTTCGATATCATAGAGGGGTGTCTTCCTTTGACATCTGTTCCTCGTCGGTGCTCTTATTGTTCTTTACAGTGCGACGAAGGAGGCTTATGCGGCTTAAAGGCAACTTCATAAAGATACAAAACCAGTGCAAAAAGCAAATCTTCACATCAATTAAACTTGTTGCTCGGGACGACATTAAAAAGGTACGTGGGTTTCACTGTGCTTGTTACATGACGAAGCCGGTAAGGAAGCTGCTGTACCATGCGTGAAGTAACTTTCACTCTCTTCAAGGTGTAGGGGGAAAAGAGGACCGCGTAAGATTTTTAGTATGTATGTATGTATGTATGTATGTATGTATGTATGTATGTATGTATGTATGTATGTATGTATGTATGTATGTATGTATGTATGTATGTATGTATGTATGTATGTATGTATGTATGTATGTATGTATGTATGTATGTAATGACGTGGTGCGTGGTGAGTAATGTGAGTAATGTTCATTACTCACCACGTCACAGTAGATAGTGCATGATAGTGATAGTTCACGTGTCAGGGGCCCTTGATATAGCATGCCTACTTAAGAAAAGCGCATTTTTGTAACGTGTTTTCCCTGATGAAGGCCGGTCCCGGCTGAAACGTAGGAAAAATGAAAAGTTTTCGCTCTGCCCGTCCTCCACTTTTTGGTATTTTCCACTAGATCCAGGACACCTTCTTTTTCAGACACACACACCACACACACACACACACACCACACACACACACGCACGCACATATATATATATATATATATATATATATATATATATATATATATATGCGTGCGTGCGTGTGTGTGTGTGTGTGTGTGTGTGTGTGTGTGTGTGTGTGTGTACTTAGGGGCTCGTTTGTCCGTGTTCTGACACAATATTAATAAGACCTAACAGACAATAATGCCAAGGAAAGTATAGGGAAAGTTATTCGACCGAATTGTAATGTAGATATGAAGAAAGAAAAGTGGGTGAAAAGATTACTGGCCGTGGGCAGGAACCGAACCTGCGACCTTCGAATAACGCGTTCGATGCCCTACCACTGAGCTACCATGGTGGCTATCCTCCCAGGCACTTTATTGGGTAATATGCATGTGAATTTAAACGTGGTAGTGCAGTCAGCGCCGCCACCAGTAGTCATGGCGGCGAGTGTGGCACACTTTATGAGCCTGTTTGGCGTCACGTAGCACGTGAACTTATTACGAGCTAGCAGCAAACCAATAGTCCCTCGTGTGTGTGTATATATATATATATATATATATATATATATATATATATATATATATATATATATATATATATATATATATATATATATATATATATATATATATATATATATATATATATATATATATATATATAGAGAGAGAGAGAGAGAGGAGAGAGAGAGAGAGAGAGAGAGGCAATAAATGTCATGTAGCGCGCGTGTCGTAGCTTCCCCTCCTCGTGGACACCCCCTCTCTTATGTCGCGCCTAAAAGTGCGCTTTCAGCACGCTTCGGGGGGCGACAGAAGAGAGCATGGCACAAATATCTGTAACTCCACTCATACTTGATGGATTCTAAAAACTTTTTACTGTGGTCGATTGAGGCAATAAAACTCACTTCGGGGAATCTACTCGATGGTTACGTGGAAAAGTGTCGCAGGGCCCCTTGAAAGCAGCTCTTCTGCACGCGCGCGTCCTTTGAACCCTCGCACTTTTCAAAGTGTCAGTTCGCTTGAAGACCAGCGTTAATATTGCGCCATGTTTACTTGTTCTCTGCCCCATCTTTATTGGTTTGTTCGTTGTTTTTTTTTTCTTCTCACGTGGTAAAATACTCAGAAATATTAGAAATTCCTATCAGACTGACTGTCCACTGCATAAAACGGCACACAAGAGTATGGCAAGTTTGAACAACTGAATGTAAGCGCGAGTGGAATACAGGCCAAGGCGCCGGTGAAATATGAGCTCGCCGACAGCTTGTCCTCTTTCGACGTGCCTGACTGTTTCCTCTCATTTATTTCAGCCCGTGTTTAAATTCAGCTGCTCGATCTAGTCTTAGCCATGAACCGAGTAACAGTTGAGTTCAAAACTTATCCTCGTGTACTACATAAGTCTGCTTCGTGAGTGATGGTTCACAGAGGCAACGCGTATGCGCGAATGTGTCATTGCTTAAGCGGAGCACGAGTGGGCAATAATTAGAGTGGCTTCTGAGGTGACTTGAACGATGTTAGCGTAGTACAGTGAAGAGTACAGTGATTCACAGATAAGGTGGCAGAGGGCGGTGAGGTCATGACTTGCCATGACAATGCCATGAAAACCTGCTCGCATCACATTTGAACAACAATGCTGCTTTACCTCTGTTGCTATAGCTAATTATTTTCTCTTAGCGGAAAACAATTAATTTTTAGCCGAATACAATAATCATGTTACCCATTCTTATACCCTGCACGTATTGACAGAGGTTCTTGATATTAAATAGATGTGTATTTATCCCTTATTACCTGCACTGCCCATCATACTTCGGTCTCCTACATCGGAACGGCCTCTTGCATACCATAATTATGCTGCATTACAATTGAAACTCGTTATAACGAACACTAACATAACGAATTAGTGGTTATAGTGAACTAAATACAAAGTTCAGTTTTGCACGCTTCATTTTGGTGGCACTATTTTTTTATAACGAAACGGCCAACGTGAGAGCTGCCTTGATGTAGGCTGTAACTAAGAACTATTTGGATTTTGCAAGGCTCCAAATTTGAAAGATAGCCCAAAAATCAATATAATAGTGGATAACAATTTACATTGTTGTTTTTTCTTTTTGTCGCTTGAAAGTTGCAGAAATTTTGTCTATCTAGCGCAACAACAGCAAAAAAAGTGAAATTGATTGGTTGCGCCTCCATATGAACTGAACGGGAAACTTTTCGATGCTCATGTGGCGTCTCTATAAGCAAATGAATCGTGTATTGCTGTAATTGCGCTTCAGCATGTTCACGCCTATTTAGCTGCAGCTGCCATAAACAGACAGGTAAAGATCCATTTAATGTAGGCCTGAAGCCTAAAATAATGCATTTTTTATTCTACATTGCAATTTCATTAGGCTCATTTTCTATCTCTGATGTTACAACAAATATCGGACATAAAGAACTAATTGATAGCCCCGATGTTACTTCGCTATAACAAAGATATAATGTACTCCGGTTGCCTTAATAGAGTTCTGCGTCTCCTTCAACTTTCCAGCTGATGAACGCTTTCTGCGAAGCCCACGATGCTTGTATGAAATCGACAGCAGATGGAAATGCAGTTGAGGTGAATTATTTTGGCTAGTCAACCGAACTAACAGAGTGTCAGTTTTCCTGTAGGAAAAAAATGCCAACGTGACATTCTGTATCTTTGCAGCTCATAGACTGTTGGACGTATGCAGTCAAGAACGAGGTAATGTATATGTATAAGACCTAGCATGTTTATTGGGAACAAATGAAAGAATACTATTTTTTTTTCATCTAAGTTGGCACGTCAGCGGTAGGGGTCAAGTGACCATATTCAGTTCCCCTGTGCGAGGTCGCCGGTTCGATTTCTGTAGGCGGTGCTAGAGTCCAAGTGGAGGTCATGTGCAAGAACATTCATGTTCCGCATTCTGTTCACAGATCACACAGTCAAACTATGTTCAGAAGTTGCGGCACCCTTTATAAGCACAATCTAAGTAGAGGCAAAGAACAAACATTAGCTGAACTGAGAAAAATGTAACAAAGCGTGGTTGAAATACTTAAATAGCGGTTAATTTCCGCACACACGTAACAAATTTGCACTGACAAGCAAAGACTACAACAAGAAACCAATTTAAAGTCAAAAGTGCATCGTTTACCTTCAGATAAGAGGTTACGAGGGGACGGGGAGAGCTATAGGACGGGGTGCCGGGGGCCCCACAGGCCGCTCGTTGCCGACCTCTGCTCCAGGCACTCATTCGTTTTCGCGGTCTCGTCTATCACGAACGCGCCCGCAGTGTCAACAAAGAGGTTAAGGTTAGGGTGTCACATCGTTGTTATAGAGAAAGTACAAAATATTTGAAAGAGCTCACTATGCTAAATGGCTTAGAAACGCAATTTCTAAGGTCTCAAAATGTCATTTTACACATGCATGCCCAAATGATGCCAGCAAATAAATTACTCTCTAAAACAGCACTCCTGCTCAGATAGTTGCAATGCTATATTATTGCTGGAGTTCTCGACGAGTGCGTATATTTATACGTTTATTTTTTTTAATTTTGTATATAACATTTCTTTTGCAGACTGGCCCTTACCACGCCACGGCTCTTCCGAGAGCCTGTACAAAGCCATAGGTGCCACTTTCGTAAGGACGCGTATTTTTCTATATTTCTTAGAGAGTGCAAATAAGGAGACGCTATTTATGCACTTTCGTTAAGTATAGCCACCAGCATAAGCATGCCTACAAGGAGGAGTGGGTGGGGCACCCCTAGTCATCTCAGCGGGGCGCCAAGATATGTTTTTTTTTTTTCAGTCACCCCGGTTTCACCATTGTTTTAGGGGCGACGCTGTATACCTCTGCCCCGTGACGATTCCGTCTCCGTTGACTAAAAACGAAACGTCATGCCCCCAAAACTACCAACAGACATATGATGGCGCGAGCATGATGCGCAGGCGTTTTGCGTTTTCACCTCAGATGCTGAGGGAGGACCTTCGAAGGAAGGAAAATGCTTTATTGCTCGTCAATTTTCGTTTTTGCTCACGAGGCCACCAAAAAAAAAAAGAAGTAAAATAGTAGCGTGATGGAAACTGAGCACGAACGCGAGCAGCAAGCGGCTTCAAAGAAGGTTGACTGCCCCCTCATTATTTTCTCATCTCCGTGCGTATCAAGAACTGTTCACTTATCACCTTCACACACGTTAAGCCGGAGACAACAAGCCCGTATGCGTGCCTCATTTCCATTTTTGCATCCATAGAGAAGCTTGTGTCTTTTCGGACTCGATCAAAGGGGATGGTGGAAGGGAAGGAAGGCGCTGCGTTGAAGCTTGCCCCCTCCCTCCTATCATAGAGTGCGGACACCTACGGTTACCAGAACTGTGTGAGAGGGAAAATGACAAAACATACCAGGGAAAGAACGTCACCGGACATTATTACCTCTAGTAACGTATTATTATTATTATTATTATTATTATTATTATTATTATTATTATTATTATTATTATTATTATTGTTGTTGTTGTTGTTGTTGTTGTTGTTGTTGTTGTTGTTGTTGTTGTTGTTGTTGTTGTTGTTGTTGTTGTTGTTGTTGTTGTTGTTGTTGTTGTTGTTGTTGTTGTTGTTGTTGTTGTTGTTGTTCCTTTAAATAGATGTTTCAAAGCCGTTTGCGGGTGCTTGATTTGGGTACAGCAGAAGCTAAGAGTTTTCGAATAGGCTCTGCAACGGCGCTTTGGACACTGCCCCCGATTCTGGGTAACACAAGTCTTGACCAAGCGAGAGAGAGAGAGAGAGAGAGAGATGCGAACATTTATTGTAGAAGAGAGAGAGAGAGTTTGGGAGGCCAAAGCATGACCCCACTATATGGTCCATGCCCCTAGTCCAGGACGCAACACGACGAGGCCATGACTCGCACCGGTCTCACCAGAGTTCATTGAGGCTCAGAGGGCAGTCTCCCGTGCCTCTCAGGAAGGGTTAGAAGGTGACCACGAGCCATTGCTTCAGTGGGCACTGTCATGTTTGCCTGGCGCAAAGCTTTAGAGGCTGGCTTTGGGGAGTCTCTTTAAATTCGAGATAGCGCGTTCTCAACGCTGTGGGGTCTGGAGTGGCGAGCACCAAGCTCTTGGAGTGAACGGACACAGTAGACACGGTCGGAACAAACCAAAGAACAGACATTTATTTAACTGCTTTTAGATAGACGATATCGCCAGCCGAATCATACATGTTGTTATCCACACGCTAAACAACCTTACACAAAATTACATACACTCAACAATATGACAAACACAAGGCAGTGTTGCTAACGCCTGACTCACGACAAGGGCCCCCGGCAGACGGCCCGCGGTGCCATACACCAGGTCCCACGGCGTGAGACAACCGTTCGCGCCAACCGCCAAAAAAACCCGCTAATCTCTCCCGTGCCGCCACCAAGGCTTGCCGCCAGTCATCACTGCCGGCGTCACCGTTCTAACCATGATGATGATGATGGTGGTGATAAACGCTGGCGAGAACCCCGCCACCTACCGCGGGGTAGTTGTGAACCCGAAATGCGGCCAATGTGCGAGACACGTGTACCACGCAGCGCAAAAAACTTTACAGGAAGTGTTAGCACCCCCCCTCCCCCCCCCCCACAACGCAAAACCCAAACGCTGTTTGGCCCTCACGCATGTGCAGCGGCCTCGACGATATTTTTGGGGAGAAGGGAGGGAGGAGCAAAACGATTTGGGCCTCTATACAAAAGCTCCCACTTATGATCCTTCAATAATGTTTGCTGTTTGCGTCATAGGCGCGTGCCCCCCCCCCCGCCCCTTTGAAGGTGACTAGGCCTGAGAAAGGCTACACCCTCGCCCACTCCCCTTGCGCACGCTCATGTTTTGCGTTGTTGAACACTTTTCCGTGTGCATGAGCAGATCTTTATCGCTGCTGGCCGGCGACGCTGATCATAGTCACTCAAACCGTTCCGGCTTCAACAGACCCTTTACTTATAAAGGCTGTTGTTAATAATAAGCGGGCTTTTACGTTCCTAAACCACAATATGATTATCAGGCATGCCAAGTTAAGGCTATTGTTTCGATGGAGGTGAAAGTGTTTGAGGCCCGCGTGCCTATAGATTTAGGTGTACGTTAAAAAAACCGAGGTAGTCGAAATTTTCTGAGCCCTCCGCTGTACGGCGTCTCCTATAATCATACTGTGGTTTTGAAACGTTGAATCCCAGACATTTATTATTATTGTTGTTATTGTTGTTATTGTTGTTGTTATTATTGTTATTGTTATTGTTATTATCGTTGTTATTGTTATTATTATTATTATTGTTGTTGTTATTATTATTATTATTATTATTATTATTATTATTATTATTATTATTATTATTATTATTATTATTATTATTGTTGTTGTTGTTGTTGTTGTTGTTGTTGTTGTTGTTGTTGTTGTTGTTGTTGTTGTTGTTGTTGTTGTTGTTGTTGTTGTTGTTGTTGTTGTTGTTGTTGTTGTTGTTGTTGTTGTTGTTGTTGTTGTTGTTGTTGTAAAATAGATAGTCGTTCGTATTGAACGGGTTCGTGCGTACATATCATGCAACATCCAACACGCTCACGCGTCCAACAGCGTGACTTGCAATCTTTTTGTCATAACATTCAATGCCATTCGATGCGCTTGATGAGATGGCTCTATTCATTCGGTTTTGCAGGCGTGCCTCAGGAACACCGACCTCGCAAAGCTGTCATTACAATCGATCGACGACCTCACTTCATTCGGCATGGAGTACGCCTTCGCCATTGGATAGTTAGCCAAGCAACACTCGTGTGCCGGCGAAATCCGCGCTAACGTTTTTTTCCAAGAAAATAAATGCAGGACATGTGTAGGTGCTGCCACTTCATTATAAACAGTGAGGCTGTCTGTTCGTTCACACCAGCGACTAGCGCCGGTAGCGCAATCGTTTGCGACTGGCGATAAACACCAACTTGTAAACAGCGGTAGGTGCCGTCGACATATATACATGAGGCGCTTGTATCGACGTCGCGGTGTGCAGGCTCCGCCCAGCCCAATGTTCGCCACCGCCATGGAGGCTGGACAGCTGACCACAGCTCTCCATGATCACGTGACAAATTCCACAAGTGCTGCAAAGCTGCTTTCGAGCACAACGCGTCGGAGATCCTCTTTGTAGGAACGCAGTTGTCACTTGAGCGTAGAGGGCGTTGGCGATCGCTTTGGGCTGGGCGGAGCCTCACACCATGACGTCGCTACAACGCCTCAATATGTCGACTGCGCCTACCGTTGTTCACAGAGTTCACGTCTACTCGCGTTATCATTGCGCTGTGAAAAGAAAAAAAAAAGGGGAACAAAGAAGCTAACGTCTTGTTTCGGTGCATCTGATTGATTGCGACTCTAGTCGCGCGATTGAAAATCAAGCAATGACAGGCAAAACAGTCGCTTTCCGACTATCTATGTCCAGAAACATCTATGTCCAGAAACAGATCCTAGTCGCAAATCCGAACGGGCCTTCAGACCCGGCGTCGTCGTCGTCGTCGTAGTAGTAGTAGTAGTAGTAGTAGTAGTAGTAGTAGTAGTAGTAGTAGTAGTAGTAGTAGTAGTAGTAGTAGTAGTAGTAGTAGTAGAGGGGAAGTAAATAAGTAAACTAAACGATGATGATGATAATGATGCTCAAAATTATTCTGTTGATAATTTTTCTTTTTCAAATAAACAGAACGAGATGACGATGACAACCTCTTTGTACCGAAACAGATCATCGTTAGAGCTTTGTTGTCCATCGGTTTTCCCGGCGTGGAGTTGTTTGTTTATATAAAGCCCTCCGGCGTGGAGCATTTTAAGTAAACCTTTCTGGCCTGCATCGTAACTTATTTTTGGCGCACACTGACACACGGACAAAGAAAAGAAGGGTAGAACACCTGCGCTGCTATCAACTGAAGGTTTCATTCAGAAAAGGAACATTTATATATCAGTGTAGTCAGCCCCTGCTCATGCGCATTGTCGCCACTTCAAATCCATGTCTACCGTACCATATCTCAAGTGTTCATTATTCGCTTTAGCAGTGACACTTCTTTTTCGAAAATTGTCACTGACGGGTGGCTGATGCAGTATGATTGCCTAATAATGATGTGAAATGCCTCCGTGATCTCTCGTGCGGTGCGATCGTGGAGCCTAAACAAAATGATCGTATTTGAAAAGCGTGCCTCACATCCATACTTTGCGCAGTGTAAGGCCAAATGAGCTAAAAATAAGTTACCATGCACTCATACCAACTAGCTAGTCTTTCAATATTACTTTCTGACCTGCTTTAAAGCCTTCCTATATACACCAAGCTATAACAGTGCCGATGGCTGGGTTAGGTTAGCTTAGGTTATAGGAAGTGTAGAGAAACCTTTCTGTATGTACTTACATCAGCCCGTGGTACTCTTCTTGGGTAATAAATGAAGAGGAATCATGGCTGCATGATGGCGATCAATATATAGCACCCCCCTCCCCCTCAGCGGCTATCCGGATTTGCTTGGTTATGGTAATCACCTTTACTATCAAGGCACTTTTCATGCTTCCACTCATTAATCTCCCAACATTACTCAGGCTTTTTAATTGTTTAGTCCTTTACTAAGGAGTTTTAGTTCCGTGTACAGCGTGTGCGAAAAGTTGGTGTAGGTTAGCAATCAGCGCGTCAAAAACTCTGAGGCTGGCTTCGTAATCAACCGTGACGGCCGGCACCACTCGCGCTGAGCGTTGCCTGCCATGAATAAATACGCGCGGAGCAGTGATAACGCGCTAGTAATCTTCAAGAAAAAGAATAATATGGGGGGAGAAGGGCTGGGAGTGCTGGTCTATACGCGTGGACCCGCAGTTTCCACAAGCCATTCATTTCCTAGTTGCGACAGCTTTCCTGTGGGGAGAGGTGCAAGCGCTGTGGCGGTCCTCATGACTTTAAGACGTGCACAAGTAGAGAAAAACTTGTGTGTGCTAACTGCAGCGGTGACCATTCAGCTAGCTACAGCCGATGTCCAGCACGGACAGCCGCTCAGCGAAGAAATAAGACATTCGTTCTCGGACCGAACTCTGTAAGCGAACCATCGAACACAAAGAAGACCACCAACGCACCGCAACGTAGTGCACTGGTCAACGTTTCTGCAATGCGACTCGCTGGGACACATATACACAGAAGAGCGCTGGACGAATCCTCTGGTGAGCTGTTTGCAGACATGTTACGAAGTAAGCGAGTGGCTGCATCGCTACTGAAATTGCCCAATCATTTCCCTGCTCCTGACTTGAAGTTAAAGAACCTGTGCGCAGGACGTTAGAAGAGCTGAGCGGAAGTTCATGAAGAAAAACGGAAACCTATTGGCGAAAACTGAATATAACCGAATAAACGCTGCCATTCGTCGCCACACACACACACACAAAAAAAAACTACGCAGAATTGAATGGGCTGCTTTCTATGAAAGTTTATCGCCATTTACACCCTTGACAAGAATGTGGAGAGTCATAAATAGTCTTTGCGGAAAGATCCGCTCTAACAGATCATTCGAAACACTTGCTTTGAAGCAAGGTAAAGATTTGCGAACCCTTGATGAAGATTCCGCAGACGTATACACATCTGGCAGATCAGCAAACGTGGCGATACTTCTGCTACCTCAATAATCGCATACAATGGATACGCCGTTCACATTTCGAAAGCTGTATATGGCGCTTAGCAAATTAAAAAGACGCTGTGCTGTGGGTCCCGATATGATCATTAATCAGATGCTGACAAATCTGCCCCATGATCGAAGGCGCGGCCTTTTGAACATATTTAATCATGTCTGGAGCACAGGAGAGATGCATTTGTATGGAAGACAGCATGGGTGGTGCCAGTGCTGAAACCCGGCAAAGATCCTTCGAGCGTCACTTCATATCGACCGGTATCGCTAACATCATGCGCATCTAAGTTGATGGAAAGACTCATATGCACAAGACTAACTTGGTACCTTGAGAAACAAGGAAGATGGGCCGCGTGTATGACGGCATTCCGCCCACGCCTGAGCACCCATGCAGGACAGTGTTTTGGAGCTGCTGAGCCACATTGAGCACCACCGTGTCAGTGGCCTTTCGACACTCTCCGTCTTCATGGACGTTGCCATAGCATATGACTGTGTGCTTCCAACAGACATCATCAACGGACCCCATGCAATGGGTGTTTCGGGAAATGCCCTTTGTTTCGTACATGAATTTATCAGAGACCGGCGTGTCCGGGTCAAGCTTCGAAATGTCATGAGCGAAGCGTTTCTCTCGGCGTTCCACAAGGAAGGGTTCTATCTCGATACCTTGCTTTTTAACGTAGCCATGGCCAGCCTTCCTGGCACTCTAAAAGTAGCTCTGAAAGCTGTTAAAATATCAATATATGCCGATGATATCTGCATCTGGTTCTCAGGGTACCAACACAAACGTCTAGCCCGGATAGCACAGGGCGCCGTTTCAATCAATGAACGCCATTAGTCGACACTTAGCCTGTCTCTATCAGCGGAGAAATCTGCCTTCATGCTCTTCCCGGGGGTGCGACGAAAGTCACCGCGCCTATCGCTGAGTATCAGAGGCCATTCCATTCGTCGTGCGACAATTGTGTTTCCTTTGCGTTACCATCGATGACAAGTTACTATGGCGACGAGCGGTTGATGGTGTTGTGGCCACATCCGCGCAGAGACTCAATGCTCTTCGTCGCATGGCAGGTGTACGCTGGGGCAACAATCATATGTCGATGCTTTAGCCGAATGCTGTGCTCATCACAAGCCGCATTATTTAACAGCTGTCGCTGATAACGCCGACACCGAGCCAGTTTCAATGCATGGAGGCAGTGCACCAAAAGGGTCTTCGATTGGCGATGGGAGTTCCTATGGTGACATCAAACAAGAATATCAGCGATGAAGCTGAGTCGCTACCACTCCGCCTCCTGGCGTCTCAGACTTTGTTGACGCAGCTATCAAGACTGGGCGAGTCATCCAGGACGGCCCTTCTCCAGCGGCTAAGAGCAAGGCCTGACTCACATTTTCACGCGGCGCTGAACACATTTCAACATTTAGGTTTGAAATCGCCTCACCGGAGCCATATCAACCGCCATGGTCCTTTGTGAACATTGCCTGTAACTTCAGGGTCTCTACACTGCATGCTGACGAAACGCACTGTTCCATCTGAGGAAGCAAAGTTTCTGGTGTTGGACCATTTGAGCACCATGTACCGTGGTCACCTTCAAGTCTACACTGACGGATCAGTGTGCCCACTGACGGATAGCTGCGCAGCGGCTTTCTGCGTACCTTCTTTGGCGTGTCACGGTCGGGCCGCCTGGATCGTGTTGTGCCGAAAGCACAGCAATCACCGCGGCATAGCGAAAATTGCAAACGCTTTCTGCACGAGATGTGGTAGTGCTGACTGATTCGCAGTCGGCGTTACAGCGACTGCATCGAGGGATACCCCAAGAAAAATCCTCAAGACAGTCTCTGGCGTTCATTAAACACCTGATCGGCAAGAGCTTCAATGTGAAATTTCAGTGGATCCCGTCCCACTTTGGAATTGAAGGCAATGAAAAGGCTGATGTCCTTGCACGTGAAGCGCGAACTTGCGTTTGAAAAATAAGGGCTCCTAAAACTTACCAGAACAACAAGAATGTTATACGCAATCAGGTCAGGGTGATCCACAAGTTTCCACGTCATTCGGACTTTCCAGAGAACAAGTGACGCTGCTTTATCGGATAAGAACCGACTCCGCACACACGCCGGCTTGGTCTTTCAAGACTAGGCGAGGCGCTTCCCCGTTTTGTGCCGTTTGTGGTGACATCAAACATTTCATTTTACTGTGCACGCAGTTTGACAGAAAAAGAACAGAGATGCT